GCCGTCTAAACTCTAAACTTGTTTGCCCCACTACACCTGCCCACGGGCCACCTAGCGTATATACGCCATAATTACGTAAGGCAGCCGCAATTGCCCACGGTCGTAATTGCCTACGGTCGCAATTACTTATAGTAGTAATTACCTGCTCAATTACCTACTTAATTATCTATTTCTATAGGTATATATAACCGTGGGTAATTGCGACCGTGGGCAGTTACGACCGTGGGCAATTGCGACCGTGGGCAATTGCGACCGTGGGTAATTGCGGCTGCCTTACGTAATTGCGACCGAACGTGCCTACGGCTGCCTTACATAACTGCGCCGGGTGGCCCGTGGGCAGGTGCAGCGGGTACGGGTATGGGGTCATGGCCCGAGCTCTGCAGCTGTGAGCTCTTATTGGTTCCAAAAGTGGGTTACTGCCCGGATAGCCAAACAGTACTGCCCGGATAGCAAAACTCTTAATAATAAGCTAAGTAATATACTTATATAGCGGCGCTAACTAAAAAAGTTAATAATAGAGGTTAGCTATAATAATTAGCTATAATAATTAGCTCTAATAGTTAGAAGCAGCCCTTAACTATAGAGGTTTTAAACTTTAATAATAATATAAAAGTTTTTAAAAAAAGAGCTAAATAGGCTAATATCTATTATTTTTTAGAGCTTATAAAGATTCTTTTTATTTTTATTACTTTTAATATTACCTAAAGCTCTATTTAAACTAAATAAATTTACTAAATAAATCTACTAAATAAATTTACTAAATAAATTTACTAAATAAACTTATTAATATATAAACTACTACTTAAATAGCTAGTTAAATAACTAGTTAAGAGGTTAGCTAATTAAAATACTACTTCGATAAGAACCTACTCTACTCTTAGTATATAATTAGTAATTAATAAGCTAAAAATATTTATTAATAAGTCTACCCCTCTCGGGCTAGGCGCCCTTTTTAGCTAGCTTAATACTATACTTATTATAATTAATATAAATATACTTAAGGATTAGTAAAGTACTTTTTAATAATACAGAATTTAACTAAGTAATAATATAAACGCTATAAATAGTTAGGCTAATACGAACGTTAAGATTTAATATATTAATATTAGCTTAAAAATTATACTTTATAAAGCTAAAAATCTTTTTAATATAGGTTATATTATAAATATAAAAGAATATATAAGGGGCTTTTTAATTTTTAATAAAAAGGAGTATATAATACGGGATTTAGTTACTTCTATAAGCTAGTATTAAGAGGTTTTATATATATTAAAATAAGTATAGCTCGCCTTCTAAATAGTTAAAAGCGGGGGAAGGTCGGGAGCTATTTTAATTAGTAATTAAGTATAGAGCGTAATATATTTAGTTTTCTTTAATACGTAATATACGGTACGGCCCCGGTAAATTACTCTATCGGGGGGATAGTAGTTTATATATTAATAAGTTTATTTAGTAAATTTATTTAGTTTAAATAGAGATTTAAATAATATTAAAAATAATAAAAATAAAAAGAATCTTTACGAGCTTTAAAAAGTAATAAATATTAGCTTATTTAGCCCTTTATTTTAAAAACTTTTATATTATTATTAAAGTTTAGAACCTCTATAATTAGAGAAGGCTATTTTTAATTATTATAGCTAATTATTATAGTTAATTATTATAGCTAACTTTTATTATTAACTTTTTTAATTAGCGCTATTACGTAAAAAATAGCTTATTTATTCTAAATTATATAATAGTTTTTATATTAAAATTATTATATTATATTAAGCGCGTATTTAGAATATATTATATATATTATATAGTTAAAAAGTATACCGTATTATATAATTTCCCTTAAAAGCGTAATCTTATTAAAGTTAATCTTTTATACTTATAAAGCTAGAAAAAAACTACTATATAAATAATTTAGTTAATATAAATATTAAGATTTAATATATTAATATTATTTTAAAAATTATATTTTATAAAGTTAAAAATCTTTTTAATATAAGTTATATTATAAAAATAAAAGAATATATAAGGGGTTCTTTAATCCTTAATAAAAAGAAATATGTAATATTAAATTTAATTACTTATATAAGCTAATATTAAGAGGTTTTATATATATTAAAATAAGTATAGCTCGCTTTTTAAATAGCTAAAATTACGTAGTAAAAAGTTAGGAGTTATTAATAAAAAGAAAATAACGGTTAAGTTAGTTAACTATTCTAATTAGTAGTTAAGTATAGAGCGTAATATACCTAGTTTTCTTTAATATATAATATATAGTACGGCCCTGGCGGATTACTCTATCGGGGGGATTTAAATTATTATATTATATTAAATACGTATTTAAAATATACTACGTATATTATATAGTTAAGAAATATATTATAATATATAAATCTTTTTATAAAAGCGTAATTTTATTAAGGTCGATTTTAAATTTATTTATATATTTATTTTAATATTCTATTTTTACTAGCTACTTAGGCAATTCTTAATATTATTTATATAATATTAATATATAGTATTAATAAATACTCTTATTATTTTAAGAAACAATTTCTTTTAAAAAATTTTCTACCTTTTTAACTTTCCCTTTTATAAAGTTTATAACTACGTATTATTAACGGATTTATTTATATATATATTCTACTTTTACTAGCTACTTAGGCAGTTTTTAATATCGTTTATATAGTATTAATATATAGTATTAATAAACCCTTTAGGGTCCGGTCCGCCTTATTAGGGGCTATCTTCGCCTTTATAAGCAAGCTAGTTTATTAGGGTTAATATCGAATATTTTTATTACGTACTTTAATAAACCTTTATAACTAACTATAGCTAGCCGTAGCCGTTACTAAATTAACCCCGCTACTATAATATATTAATCGCTTTTTTAATAACTAAATACTACCCCTTACTTTCTCCCTTTATTTTATTTAATAATAACCTCTCTTTAATATTCTTATTTAATATACTTAACTATACTCTTTCTAAGCTCCTAATTATATTATTAAATCTAAGCTTATTTATATTATTTTATTATATTAAAAAGGTATTAATAAGGGTAATACTTATTATAATATATTTATTTATTTTTTATAAGTTAATATTATAAATATAATATTTATTAAAATAGTAATTTAATAGCTCGGGGTTATTTAGTATAATACTTATAAAATTAACTAACTTCTAACTATTAAAGAAGCCCTAAGGGTTAACGAGCTATTAATATCTTAGTATTTTAGTAAAATATACTTAAGGTAAATAGTTAAATAGTAATAATAATAGTAATAGTAATAGCGTAATAATAATAAATAATAAAGAAAGCGTTTTTTAATTTTAATAAAAGAAACGAGGTAATAAATATATATATATATATAAATAAAGTTAAAAGTATTAGAGTAAATATTATAAAGTTAATATTATTCTTAATAATACTAACGAGGGTATTTTTAATATTACTATTATAAACTATTATTACTTAGCAGGCCGTAAACTTAGCTAAGTAAATATAGGCTTATAAAATAGTAGTATTAAGTACCTAATATTATTATTAATAATCCGTAGTTATAAACTTTATAAAAAAGAAAGTTAAAAAAGTAAAAAGTCTAAAAAAAATAGTTTATTAAAATAGTAGGAGTATTTATTAATACTATATATTAATATAATATAAACGATATTAAGAACTGCCCGAGTAGTTAGTAAAAATAGAATATTAAAATAAATAGTATTAATAAATACTATTACTATCTCGATAGACTAATTTTAAAATTATAAAGCTAAAAAAAAGAAAGAAAAAAAACTACTATATAAGAATAAATAATTAGAATAACTAATCCCTTATAATAATACTTTAATTACTACTTAAGACCGTTTTATAACCGTTATGGCCTAGTGACTAGGCCTTACTTATAATTCCGAAGGCAGTTTACTTAATCGTGCCTATGGTGCGCATAAGGCACATAGTGCTAGAAAGGACTGATCTTTCACGGTTAATCAAAAGGCCTAATGCACACCACTTCCTACCTCCCGTGCTTCCTTATAGAAACATGCTCTTCATAGCATGTGTTGACATCGTCTCTAAGAAGCTATGTATGTCTCGCCTCACGTGTAGGTCAGTGCTATGTCTAGCAACCAATCAGCATTTCCATTATTCCATCCGGAGGTATCTGACGCAGGGCAGGACATCCTCCATTAAGGTATGTTTACTAGTGTAGCTTCATCCCGACGTGTCCCCAATTTAAAATCTTTTCGACCGGGTGATACGACGAGGTACTTCTGACGTATAGCCTATAGGAACGGTACCCATTCGCGCTCTGTAAGACGTACGCGTGGTTAGGTTCCCTAGTCTCGGCACGCCAGGGTGGAGCACTCTCCTGTTCCACACCTCATCGGACTGGACCCCTTGCGTATGTGGTCAAGGGGCTTGCGGGAAAGTGGAGACTATGCTAAGGAAAAAAAAAAAAAAGTAAGAAAAAAAAAAAAAAAGGGTGCTAGCTCGCCTTTGCCTCGTCCCAGATTCTTAGTACTATGTCGTTGCCCAGCACGCAAATCCCATCCACCATCCCCCATAACAAACGAGGACGCATGTTATCACTGCACCTTCTTTCCCATCGCCCATAGTGACCTCGTCTCTGTCTCCTGGATGCACTCGTCTGAAATTCTTATCACCATTCATATCCATCCGTACATTCCATCTCTGGACAAGCCTCGTTAAAATGCCGTACAACACTCGCCGCAAATCTTTGTCTCTCCCATCGCTGGGCATTCATGTTCCAGGGAGCCATCCAAGTCGCAATCCGGCCACCGCCGCCCCAAGTCGAAGCAATTCCGAAAATGGAGGAAACCGCGTAACAATTACATCGACAACAATAACGCGGCCGAATAAGAGACAGAAACGCTCGCATGGAGATGGGATAGTGCAGGGGCCGACGTCACAAAAACATACCGGAGACGCTGTAGTTTTTGATCATACGCCACCGCCGTCTCCGACAAAAAGTAACGTCGAGATGCAGGAATCCCACAGCGACTCCGAATCTGCCACTCACATGAAGATCGAGGGAATCAACGACGAGATTGTAGAAGCTACTATTGCCCAATTACAGGCCACCTGTAACCGACCTCATCTGGTGCGAGAGCTGGCAACTGTGCTTTCGCAGCAGATTCCAATTGTCAAGAAGTAAGCCACTCAGCTCCGTTCTCAAGTCGTCACAGACTTACTAACAAGTTCGTAGCTCTGCAAACCCATGCGCCATTGTTTCTTCCCGCCTCTCCGCCTACCTGAAGCGTTCCTGTTGGAGTGGTCGGGTACCTTGCCCAATGGCTAAGGAACTCGAAAAGATACACCCACGCCGGACATATTTTTATCTCACAACGCGGCCAAGACTGCCTTTCCCAGACTCTCCGGCCTTCGCTCAGCGTGTAGTCATCTCTCCATCTCTCTCCAGCATCGCATCTGGATCCGAAGATGGTGACGACATCGACCTTCGCCGGCGGGATTTAAGCCCCTCCCCCGAGGTTGATCTTTCCTCTCCTGAATTTGATGATGGTGACGACGACTTTGCCATGCCTACTACTCCCGTCGGGTCCCTACCAAGCAGCTTCCGGTACTCAAGAAGTCAACGCAGTGCCTCTCCTCCGCTGGAAAAGGATGAACGAGAGTTTACGCAGACGGCAGACGGTCTGCAGAAACGCAAGCTCGCCCGAGAACTGTCTTCGACGGGCAATGGCGAGCAATCTGCCAACGCCTTTGAACCGGCTCGGGATTATGGCATGTTCGACGAGAAAACCGGCGTGGCCGTTAACAGCGGGTTGGCAAATATGCATCAGTTCATGACAAGCCCAGCCTTCAAGGCAACCGTCCCGGCGAGCGTCAGAAAGGAAAGTGACGGCGACAGCTGGTTCAAGCTAGGGGGCCTCCTAGAATGGGATCATAGCCCTGAAAGCATTGAACTTGATGAGCTCGATTGTTTGCTGGACTCTTGTTAACGGCCGTGAAATGTTGCGTGTAGCGAAGGCATGGCCCACGTCCCGTATCAGCGTACGGAGTGTCGACTGATTATGTTATGGGCAAACCAATGCCAGGTGCGGCTTGTTCTGTCGACTCTGGAATCAACTGGGCTCTCTTTTTGGAGATTTGATACTTAGCTGGCGTTGCTGGATGACGGCGAAAACAATTGTGGAACCAGGGCATACGATAGCGTGAAGTTGATTTCGTTTGGAAGTACAATTAGGGAATGGGCGGATGTCTTTCTTGTACTAGTAGTTGTAAGAGCAGCTGGTTCCGAGGAAGTTTGTGCCGGCTTGATATTGGAATTCAAGCCGGGGGGATTAGACTCGACCGGGTATGATTGAAATGAAATAAACAAACCTCCCCTTTCTCTACAAGTCTTGAATTCAGCTGTTGACGCCGACTTCCCGTTGATCACCAGACTGCAATAAATGCACCATGACTCTTCGCCTGCGAGTATGGAGACCAGGGGTTGCCTAAGACACGCCCGAATCCGATACTTTCAACTCAATCCACAAGGTCGTCCCAAGCTGCGTGAAGTACGGGCGATCTACCCTTGTGACTTGAAGTCCTGGTGTACACTGTGCGGCGTTCTCGACAATCTCAGCAATGTCTCGATTCCACCAGCATCCGTATTCTGAAAGAGCAGGCGAGTTAGTTCGTGCTGATGATTATCGTGGAAGAACCAATCTTACTCTGGAAATGAGAAGCTGCAGACTTATCAAGTAGCCCATTAACAAATCCCCACCATCCTCTACCATGCTCGACTAGGACGATCTTGCCTGTGTTCGGCTTTACTTTGCTGGCCAAATCCCGAACCATTTGTTCCGGGTCGCGGACACTGCAGAGGGAAAATGTTGAACAGATGAAGTCGTATTTAGCTTGCGGACAAGGCTGCTGTGGGGGCGAGGGAATATGTTCGTGAATGTCTGATCGGAGTATTCGTAGTCTTCCTGCAAGGTAGGAAATGTCATTCCACTGGGCCGGAGACGGCACAGTTTCCTTCTCAATTATTGGGTCGACATCAGCCAGCTCTGGCACAGTTTCTGCTAGCTTTTCGACAGCAACGCCGAGCATTTCATCAGAAATGTCGATTCCCGTATAGGAGATCATCGGTGATGCTTCGAACTTGGATGGTCGTGCATTGGCTTTTGGTGCTGCAAGTGCCTGAGTTGCTGAGTTCCGAGAGCTGATAATTTGACTCCAGTCGTAGAAGGGAAGGTTACGGCCGGTGCCCATGGCGACTTCGAGCACATGTCCAGAAGCCTCTGCAGCAAGCCTTTTCCGCAGAGAAGTGATACCCATTAGCCATTCCGAGCCCTCGAGACTTTGGTCAAATCTTTTAGCAGAATCCTTGGTGAAGGCGTGGGGTCGCCCTGTCGGAACTGCATCTGGCGCTGGTTCTGGGTTCTCGTGGCAGGTCGAGGAATAGAACGAGGATGCCAAAAGGCTGATATAGATTCCTAGACCCAAAGCTACTACCCCGGAGGCAAGCAAAGGTATCTTTCTGGCCTTGAAGATGGCATCGGCTGTTTCGAGAGTATTCGAAGTGGTGGGAGTGGGTTTAAGTTGGTTAGCACGACGAGTAGCGTAGCTGCAGTATGGTTAGCACTTTATGTTGGGAAGAGGATTGGTTGGACTAACGACCGTGGAGCTCTTGCACCTTGGCCCGCGGATCGAGTTGAGGCCAGCCGTCGAGATATTGTTAGAAAGCTACAGGCAGCCCGGCGAGGGGCGCTCGTGCCGGTTGCAAAGTGTAGCATGGTTGGCAACCGCTACCAGAGCCGACACAAAGTATCTTTTGGTGTTTTTAGAAGTAGTTGCGGGGGGATTGGATGATGGCGCAGCTACCCATGGTATCACCTTGCCACGTCTGCGTCTTTACAGAAGTGGTATGCAAGAATACTGACCTTGCTCAGCGAGGTGTGATGTGTGTGTGCGCACAGCCATGGTGTTTAATGACCCGTGAGTAAAGCATCAGGTCCAGTATTCTTGATAAGATATCCTTATCAGAGGTGAATCACCTTATCTAAGGAAGCTAAGGTAGGTGCACAAATCAAGGTACCTGGCTTATGGTCATTATGTGGGACCAGGCTAGAACAGGGAGCATCCCGCCCCGGTCCCACCATGTCTTCAATTTTAATTCCCTGGGACCACGGCACTTCCGCCAAGCAGTGAGTGCCTTACCAACGGAGTTTCGGCGGAGACGCGGATGCGGTTCAGATATCGGTTTCCGTATTACGTGTAGATAATATATGGCATTGTTATGTCCTGGACAACGGGTTTGTGTTCTACCCAATCTCGGCCTGCAGATATTGAAAGCGAACGTGAGCGCTTTGGTTTGCCAAAGGCTTGGGCATACTGCCAGGTTGATAATCTATTTCCCCGTACTATGGGTCATCTCGACGTAGTCGAAGTATCGAATCTAGCTTCAGCCAACCTTTGGCGCCCCATCCTGCCACCCCTGGCTGTACATCTGGTCTGATAGACGCATACCATGAGTATGCCTTGCGGTCCATCTCACGAGGTCCAAGGCTGCTCCAGCTATCGAACAGCAGCCTGAGAGCTCCGAGGAGACGGCCAAGGTTGCGCATTCTCTCGCTATCGACCTCCGATTTGCTGACCCTCTTTTGCTTGGCTTTAGAAGCACTCCCGCCGGGATTGTCGCCAGTGGGAACACCTTCAGATTGGCCGGAAGCAAAACTTTTAAGTAGGTACGCCCGAGCCGATTCCGGGCGATAGGTAGGAATTCCGACGACGTTACCACTTGTTCCGCTGGCACTGCGGCTGCCAAGTCCATTGTCCATGTTCTGAAGATCCAGGGCCCATAAGGCCACATCATCACAGGCCCCCTGGGTCTGTGTGAATCGTAGCCTCTGGGAGAGTGCCTCTGTGACGACGTTCCGCATCAGTCTCCAGCGATCTGTGCCTAGCATCTCCCCTCCGAACCACCTAGTCAGCACTACGATCACGTCAACAATGCCGGCCTCCCTAATCAGTCGTTGTATGAATTCGCCGCAGCCAGTTTCGCCGTCGTCCTCACATGCCTCGCGTACCTCCCCCAGCCCCTTGTCTTGCTTGTCGCCTTGCCCTCTCCTCTTCACTCGATAGGCCCAGGCGTTATGCGTGGCCGTTTGTAGTTGTGGCTCGGAAAGTAGGAGGGACCTAAGGAGACCTGATGCCTGAGTGCCGTCCTCGACGTTTGCCACCCTTGCAACAAAGGTCGATGATTTGAAAGTGACCTGACGGCTGGCAGACCACTGATTTTCCGTGAACGCAATGCTGCCGAGGTCTTGCTTCGAGGAGTCTAACGGCTTCCTGTCCTGTAGACCATCACCTGAAGCCCTTCCTGGAGATTCCGGGGCTACCAAACCGCTGCCTTGCAAATCGAAGTCGCCTCTCTTGAGAACAGCTATAGCTCTGCCCATGATGTTGACCTTTGGCTGTCCTTCGCCCCACGAGCTGTCTTCGTTGGCGGCCTTGGTCAGTCCAATGCTGATGGCCTTTGACTTTGAGTTGGCGCTTACAACAGCCTGGGCCAAGCTTAGACGACTCGACATGGGCTGCATTGGCATTGTGTGCCTGAGAAGTTCCAACACAAAGGCCAACATCAGTGGCGCCCGATTGGTGTATATGGACGCCTCGGCGATCTCCTTCTCGTCCGTAACCACGGAAAGACTCAGGGCAGCCTCCATTTCCTCTACACTTTGGGCAGGACCTCCGGAGTTGTCGCTGGGGTGATAACTTTTGGGACGCTTCCCACTTGGAGAGCTAAGATGATCCCCGGATCTCTTGGTATTTGCCCTCTTCAGGTGGGTCTTGCATGCGGTCTGTAAAGCCTTGGCCGACTTTGAGTCACCTAGACCACGCTCTACCAGGTCGAGCGGAGCGTCACTAATCTGCTGGATGCTACTCACATACACGTGAGATTGGTGGGATATAAAAGCAGAACCACGCACTCGATCAACATACCTTCGAAGCTCCACTGTTTGCAGTGCTTTGACCTGGCCCATTGCAGCCATCATCGTCACTCCCTTCCGAGAGGTGATGACCCTCAGCAGTTCTTGAAGATCATGTTGTGAAGCCATTTCTGAGCCGGCCAGGACTATTGTTTCATGAGTCGCTTACTCGGGCGTTTATTTGTATCGGCAGCGTTGAGGAAAAAAGAGTTCACGCAGTGTGGATGGATTACTGCAATTGGCTACGCCGCGTCAAAATAAGTGAACAAATGGAAAATAGCTCCACCTGGAAGCACAGATTCTTCGGTACTCACTGTGACACTCTTGACTGCATTCACCTTTGTGCCTCTGTTATACCTCACTACCTATCTCATCTGTACATCGCATTGCTTGACCGTTGGGAATTGGGGTGTTCTTATCCATACTTTCCTCTTAACGTACGCACGGATATTTCCGCCAAGAGTACAGTGCCATCCCTGATCCACGTACGCAGTAATATGTGGCTACCTACCTACGTATGAAACACTGTACGGGTATGGTCAGGTACATCGACCTCGGGGTCTCCCCACGTCGATGTACCCATCGGTACGTACTACGGTATGGTGGGTAAGTTTAATCCCTGGCCGTGTATTTGCGGGCAGCGGTCCACCTGCCTAAGGTTTTGGGTAATTTGACTGGCTGAAGCACACCGTGTTGAAGTCGAAGTATCTCTGCTTACTGTGTAGATTGACTACGTGCGCCACAAATACTTAACAGGGGGTTTTACTATCGCCTGGTTTCGCAGTGGGTTTGTGAGAAGGTACTGATGATAAGATGATACCTTACGGTATGTGTTAGGTATGAGTAACTGCTGCCCACGGAATGTCACATGTCGGTTGAAGCAGCTGTCGTGTTGAGGAAGGTAGATAGCCTCCAATATGTATGAATGGGCAACAATCCTGTACTTTGCCAAGCTACTCCTTCCCGTCGAGGCAATAGCTCAAGCCATCGGGAAGATTAGCAAATTCCAGCTGGCGCGGGCGAAGGATACTTAGGTATGGAAATGGCGGCGTGTCAGCCCAGCACCATAGCTTTCTCAAGGGCGATGATATTCTGCCACCACCTCCCGATATTCTGCCCCCAAGTATGGCTATAGCTGCTACACGACCGCTAGTCTCGGGTATATATATAAGCTAAGCTTTACATAATTAGCATTTAAATAGGCTAGGCTAATTAAAGGCTAGTAATTAATTTAAATTATTGTAGTAAAAAGTACGGTAATTAATATATAAGCTTAAGTTAACGTATTAGCCTAAGTTAGCGATTTTATTAAATTAGCTTAATTAGCTTAATTCCCTAGCTACCTAGCTACCTAGCTACTTAATTAACTTATTTAAAAAGTTAATAGCGATTTACTAGCGGTAGTTTATAAACGAGGTTAAGGATTTATAATACTTATTTAAGTAGGTTAATTTTATAAAGTGTTATTATTTTTAATTATAATTATAAAGCCTTAGCCTCGTAAATAGCCTCGTTAAGTACTACTCTAGCCTTAAGTAGGCTAAAGAAGTACTAGTTATAAAATAAGTAGTCGTATTTTACGTAATTATATTTATTATAATTAATAGTATATTAATAGATAAAGGGATCGTTAATTTTATAATTATTCTCTTTTTATAATATATTAATATTAAGAATAGCTTTAATTAGTAATAGCGGTAGTAGTAGCGATAGTAAGGTTAACGAAGTAGTAGTTATAGGTAGGTAGGTAGGTAGGTAGGTAAGTAAGTAGATAGGTAAGTGGGTGGGTATGGGCAGCTGGCCTCCGGGCTCGGAGGCAGGGGCGGTCGCAGCCACACTTGGGGGCGGGATATCGGCAGGTGCTGGCAGAATATCATCGCCCTTTCTCAACTGGTATGGACAAGGTACCTTAAACGCCCGGGGCTTAAGTCAGCCACCTTGCCCACCGTCATCCCTTGGCTCAGAGTAGCTCAAGCCTTGAGCTTCAAATCCACTGCGCGTCACTTTCACATCTCAACATCAACATCAAGCGTGACCAGGAGCTCTGGCCCGTTCAAAGTCAGAGCCCAAATTGCGTCGCTTCTTTCTAGAAGCGCAGGGTGCTGCCTTCAACGGCCCACTTGACTACGTTAGTCTTACCTCACGGCAAGGACGGAGCACCTTACAGCTAACCGCTCACCCCCTGCACAACGACGACACTATACACGCATAGCTTGGTGAAGCAACTAGTCGTATGCTTCGGACGACATCGCTTGTAAATCGGACGACATCATTTTACCACAACTTGCTCCCGAACCTCCAGCTGGAGCACCCCCCCTCACCTACCTTGTTTATTGAGACTACTCCCTTGAGCTCCAAGAGCATACAATCACATCTGTTCTCGGATATAATGGTACGCTCTCTGTCCAGTATAACGATTCGCTGGTCCTTGAGATTCTAAGTCTGGCGCTGGTAGGAGGTGTTGAGCAAGGCGTCTCGAGTGGCCACGTCCAAAACTGCACAGAGGACAATTGTGAACGCGAGCCTCCTCGTCGGCACGTCGTTATTTCTGCTGCCCTTTGCTGCTATCGCCTCTATCCTTTTTTTCCGCGACTACCTACCTGAGCAAGTAGTGACGACCCCAGTCCACCTCCAGTACGGGTGAGTCCTCCTCACGCTTCCCGCCTGCTTTCCGTTTGATTCAACCAAAAAGTAACCTCACCTCTAGATCAGGTGCAAATCCCTTTGGAACAGCAACCATCCCGACGTCTGCTCTGAGATCGCAGCAGGAGTATGATGTGTCCGTCACGTTGTCTATGCCCCGTTCGCCTGCCAACACACAACGAGGCAACTTCATGATTGCTATCCACCTGCTGGATGTTGGAGCCTTGTCGACGGGAAGCAACAAAATACAGCCTCATATCGCTCCTGAGCCCTATGCTCATTTCGACGGAAAGACAGTCCTTTTGTCTTCAAGGCGGCCCGCTTTGGTGCCATATCAAGATCCAATGGTATCGACAGCGTCGCGAATCCTCTTCCTAGCCTACCACGTTTTGTTCTCCGATTCGGAAACTTGCGTACTGACCGTACCGATGGCCGAGCGCGTGGAGTTGGCCAGAGGCTCCTCCTTACCCGCTTCAGCGTACCTTGAACTTCAGGGCGGCCAGGATATCGAGACATACTCTGCCTCGATTACGCTGACTGCTCAACTGCGGGGATTGCGTTGGCTGATGTACAACTACCGCGTGATGACTCTGACCGCTGCCGTCCTGGTATTCTGGGCATCCGAGATCATATTCATGGCGGTGGCATGGCTGGCATGGTCTGGGCTTTCAGGATCGTCACAGGGCTCTGGCATCGGCAATGGAGGAATCGTGGAAAAGTCGTACAATAAGTCGATGGGGCAAGCCAAGCGAGAGGAAGGAAGTGGCATCGATGAGCTGTCGGATGCCCCGAGGACGTTCCCGACCTATGGGAACCAGGCTCCGTTACGGTATGAGCCTGAAGTCAAGGACGAGCAGCATGCGGGGCCTCGTGTGGAGGACCTGCTCCCGCTCGGTGGTGAGGCCGACGACGAGGAAGAAGATGACGGAAGGGGCTTCAGGGGGGACTCGGGCATTGGAACGAGTTATAGTGAGGGAGGTTCCAGTAGTGTACGGCGGAGGTCATCGCATCGAAGTTGATGAGGGGGTGCTTGCTATCTTATGGTGGTATTGTTGCTGACCTTTTGCTGAGATCTGGCGGGGTAACGTTAATACGTCGAGATATGGAAGAAAGCAAGAGACTATTGAGAGACCCCGCCGAGGATTCGGCACCCACTCATTTAATTAATTTCAACAAAGTTGCCTGCGTCGACTTCTTCGGAGTGCAACGAAACGAAGATACTAATCTTGACCGTGAGGGTTCGTTAGGCATCACGAGCACCCAAGTCGCCATCTAACAAGGTCCAGGTGAGGTATCTTAGGTATCACCGTATCAGCAGAGGGCGATGGCTGTGCATTTGCTTACCTAACAGGAGACGGGGAGGCACCTGAGCGCTGGTACGGAGCTAAGGTAAGTCGAGGCAATAAGTCGCGGCCTAGAATACCAAAACCTGCCACTGCCATGGTGTTACCTCGTGGACGGAAGTGCCAGCCCCCCCACAGTGCACCAGTGCACTTGATCCCAGCGGATGTAGGAAGCTGCACTTGCGGGAACATCCAAGCACGGACACGGGACAGCCAAGCAACATTTCCCCTCCAGGGCACTATCTTGTCGCTTCCTTGCCCTCCCACACCGCCAGCTGCCGCCGCCATTGTCTTGAGCCTTGTCCCAACTTCGACCACATCACGCTGTAGCCAACAATACTCTGGTATTTTTCAGCCGCATCATCTTCTACTTTTCAACAATTTTCTCTCCCAGATCCCGCACCTCTGTCTCTCCACTGTCGTTGGGACAATATGCGCACCATTTGTACCTAGGCCTCCTCGCCCAAGGTCTCATTGCCCCCGGTCGTCAGATCCACCACAACCAGGTCCATTCGGAGACGGTGAAGAAGAGCAATTTCTACTTCAGCTTCGACCCCATAGTCGCATCAACTGCCACCTTGTTACGCTGCAGTCTACTCGCTACCCGCCACTGCGGTTTTTGACATCGTTGAGCCACTGAGTCGCTCTTGCAAAACACCGTTGCTTGCGTCCCTCTCGACAACCACCAAGGCAAGAAGCAACCCCCCACTATTCCCACCTCGTCCGCCGTGTGCCGCACCGAATCCCGCAAACCACCCACGGAACTATCGACCCAACGACTCACCCAAACCACGGCCTTCAGCTAACATTACGCAGCTTTACCAAGCTGCCTGACTGCCGCGTTCGCAAGGAAAACCTTCAGACCGCCGCATTGTCACTGGCGACCGCGGTGCCCTTCGCCCATTCTCCTTCCTTGCTCGGACTGCGGCGCTTCTACGCGCTCTAGTCCGCTTCGCAGCCATGCCCTGCTTTAAAGGGATTGCCGTTAGCATACATGCCAACGGTGCTCCTCTTCCCGAGCATGGTATGCAAAAGCAGTCACGACTGTCACGCATCAGCACCTATATACCCGTGCCTCAGCCAAGCATCAACCCCGATTCGAACAAGCCCGAGCCTGCCAAGTTCGCCATTTCAATTACCCTCTTGACACCCGGCTTGCCGATCCCGTACTCGACTCCGAAGTCCACCGAGACGAACCCTTATCCCAAGCCCCAGTTCGTCGGAGGCCTGCCCACCGCCGCTCAAGGTCCTTCGAAGTTCTCCGGAGTCGTCAACCCCTATATTCCCATGACCAATTCTGAGAATGAGACGATAGCCGCCTACATATACTTTGACGGAAGATCCAAGGAGGAAGTCGCCACGCTTCTGCGACCGGGTGAGGAGACCTGGGTCAACAGTCGTTGGGTTCAGGTACCCGATTCTGAAGGCGGAGGTCTTGCTGAGCGCGAATTTTTATTCCGCGAAGTCGGCTTGGAGCGTTGGCTTAACGGCTTGGACCTTCAAGGTCACGATGCGGCAGAGAAGCTGGAACGTCGCCGTCAAAAGTTCGAGAAGCGACGCAGGAGACAAAAGACTACGACTGGAGCGACAAGCATGCAAGTTGAGGAAGGCCCCAACGGCCCCAGAGACACTCTGCGCTACGGTGCCGAGGACGGATCTCCTGTTGAGGCTGTCTTTGGCGAAGACGACTCTGACTCCTTATCCGACGATGACGAGATCCCCGAGGCAACTGGACAGATCAAGGTGCTGATGTTCCGTGTGCTTGCTTCTGGCGAAATAAAAAAAGGAGAATACTCTCCACAGTTCGATGCTCATGACGACGACGATGACGCGGAGTCCGGAAAGCAAGGCAATGGGAAGAGCGGCGTCGATGCTGACGTGGAGCACACTACAAGCTTTGCCAAGCCCAAGACGTTGGATCCGAAGACTATTAGTACTCAGACCGTGACGGGTATCGATGGCCCCGACAAGCCATATGCTTCTTTCACATTCTTCTACCGCGGGGAGAGTAAGTCGGCCAGTTTCTCAAGAAATGTAATAATGTTGCGTTCTAAGCGGCTAACAATGCGTAGGGCAACTCCAAAAGATTGGCATCATTGCTTCTTCAAAGGCAGCCCAGGCAACGCCGGGATCTGCCAAACGCCGGTCTGGGCAGCTAGACTTTTCAAGCCTCGGCCCCTTGAAGACCTCTGGCACCGTTGGATTTTCTGCCTTCAGAGACCAGGATACAGAGGCCACCAGACGACGGAAAGCCCGCAAGAAGAGCAATGGCAATATTGGGGGAGCTCTCAATGACGACAGTGACGACGATGACGACGAGAGTGAACTTCTTGGAAAGATGCAGGATATTGATGAAAAGGACATCAATAACAAGCTCGCCCCCGAGGACGTTAGATCTCAAGGGGAGCTTGCTGATGGTGTGAACCGTATTCGAGTATGTTTTACTCCCCACATCCTCTTGTGTAAGCTTGGCACCTGACTCCTCATAAAACAGCTTAAGAGAGCACATTCAGCCGAGCCCGACCGCTCCGAGAACGCAGGTGCCACCAATAACTCTGTAAACTCGGGCGCGTTCGGTAATCCGTTGATTGGCGCTGCAAGCGCTGCAGGCAATGGCCATGTTTCCGAGGGCGTGAACCAGGACCCTAGCAACGACGCTACGATAGAGGGAACAATTGGGAGCCCCTTGAAGAAACATCGGCCGAGTATTTCTGGCGGCGATGATCAAATCCGAGCCCAGTCAAATAACTCAGGTTTGAGCGATGTCATGAACCGTGGGGTCCCTACACAGACAAATGCGCCGGCCACCTCGGGTACCAATGTCGACGAGGAAGAGCTGTGATACTCAATCGCTTATACTGGTTCAATCAGGGATGAAAGGGGCTGCGGGAGTCTGGGTCACATGGTAGAGAGGGTCCATGACGATATCCACGCCAGGCGAGTGCGATGAATAAGAAAAGCGTCAGAGGTCCTGAAGAAGGCCTGTTCGGTGATTTTGTATGCCGTTCTGGCAAATCAGCGGCGACTCAGCTAGGTCATGACCGCACAGGAAGTCGCGAGGCCCAGCCTGCTTTCAATAGAAACGTGTATTCTTGTGTGTGTACTACTTGCTGGGTGGACATCTTTGTGTAGCACTCTGTGCCACAACTTCCAGGAATACATATCAAACAGGCATCTCGAATTAGTAACCGTGCGAAGTATTGAGAAAAAGACCTTTGGAGGGGAACGAATCGGTACCGTCTTGTTCGCTCGAAGACAAGCATGATTGTGTCTTCCTGTGGTCAGCCTCTGTTGTATCCGGCAACATCATCATTAGGATGTAGCTTAGAGAATTTTCTGCCTTGATTGTTGGTCGTAGGTCGCTGTGGAAATGGATGTCTACTCTCGCGCGTATGCAAGACTATTTGAGTGGGAGAATGGAAGTCGTGCAGAGCGAGAAGACCAACCGGGGGTGGGGGTCGGAGGCTAGGCTGAGGATACAGAGTACCACGACTATTTGTCAAGGTCTCTCTCTAAGGTATTGTCTATTTGGTCTACTTTGACTCGATCCTTGGACACCATGGCTGCCACACACAATTACCTGTACCTGAATTCGTTTCGAGACCCCAAGCCTCCGTTGCCTTAGAGGACTAAATGTGTTTATCTCTTTCATGTCGCCATGACGCCGCTTGGACGAATAGGAAATGACGGCCAAACGCTTCTAGGTCGGAATGTCCAACATACCACCAGAATTCTCATTATCGTACATTAGCATAAATACTACAGGTTCTTTTCCGTGATTTCCATGTAGAACGCCCTGTGGAAGGAATCACCGCCCATATCTCCTTTTTGTGAACCCCCAATCCGCCTGTTTTCCCGCCCGTCTTGTGCCGCGATTGATCCGAGGAACACACCTTGCCATCGCCTTGTCTTGTGAATAGACATGATTGTCAGATTGGGGCCAAATCTCTCCACAGATTCTTATGCGCGCTGTAAAATGGCATGGAAGCGTTCAATGACCTATTTGGCGCGACATTAGTCACGGGTGAATGTCGACGGAGTCGGCTCAAGCTGCTTCGCTTACCTCTGGGTTTGACTTGACGAATGGGAGATCAAAAAACATGTACTTCTCGTTCTTGAGCAACTCAACAACTGTCACCATGAGACCCCAGGGTTGGGGCCAGTAGCCGATCAGGCGTTCCCAAAGCACGCGAGTGATTTGCTGCCTGATCTCCGTCTCCTCAGGGTCATTCATGTCCTGGCCGAAGATCTCCAGTAAGATACGGCTGAAGTAGTTGGTATGGGCATTGGGGAACCGCAATTGGTTTGCAATGCTGGTGATGAGGTAGTAGCGGGCCTCAGGAGGCAGCTCGTGAAGCAAGATGGACATTGTGGCCACATCTGATGAGGCTGGATTGAAGACATCCGTACCCTTCTGAGTTGACTGCTGGACAGCATAGTTGCCGACATGAAGAGTGACCGCCTCGACCACTCGCAAATTGGCATTGATGGGCACATGCCCAAAACCGGTATCAGGTCGCTGGCTTTCGACAATGGCTCGCGTGATGTGTGCTAATGTATCCTCAGACGGGCCGTTCTGTAGCGCGTGGTCAAGGACATCGAGCAAGCCTAAGTCGCGCAGAATAGACGCAGAGTTGTCTAGACATTCAGGGGAGTCCCTGGCACCATCTACTCTATCAGCTTGCAGACCGGGAAACGAAGGATCCGGCATCTTAGGATGGGCTGCTGGGTTCGCTGTCAATATGGCGTTGAGAAGCTGCTTGCAGTGAGGAGGGACACTAGCTACGAGTTGATGTGAGTGTGCCGCGAGGTAGTCCGAGTAGTCGTGCTGTAGAATAACGAGTAGCTTGAGGGTGGCTCGATAAATCTCTCGCGCTACATTGGAGGGCTCGATCGCTTTGACCTGTTCGCCAATATGTTCCAGGAGCAATTGCAGGAGTCTGGTAAACGCCACCCACCCGGAGCGATCCTTCATTACTGCAGGCAAGAAAGCCCGATGCTGGAGGAGGGAGAGCCAGCCGAAAACGAAGCCAGGAAGATATTTCGGTCCGAGGTCTGCGAGTCTGGCAGCGAATTTCAGGAACAGCTCCGATCTCTCTGACTCGGGGAGCTGCTCTGCAGTAGAGCTGATTTCGTAAAGGAGAACCGACAACAGACGATGGAACACTCTCTGGTTGAAGTGATCCGCGCGCTTCACATGGTGATGGTTAAGCACGAGAGTGATAAAGGCCAAGACAGAATCCAAGTAGACCGCTCGGCTTGGCGTCGGAGTAGGCTGTGCTTCACCGTGAAGTCTGATAAAAATGTTAATCATCTTTGCGAGGGCATCCACAGCGAGGAATGCATCCGTCAGGGTTCCCGTCGAATGGACGAAGTGCTCAAACCTGTCCACCGACATGTCTGTTGCGATTCTGAGGAAAACAAAAAGGTCGTCCTTGCTCTTGACAACACCTCTGATTTGCATCTGCTGCACGAACATGATGGACGAGGTCTCCGATCCGTCAGGGTTGTTGCAAAGATGGATCCATTCGTCAAAAACATATTCCATTTGGTCCTGCTGAAGTGCGCCTTCGCTCTCCTGTTGCGCAGTTTGAGGCAGTGTTTGACCAGAGAGCTTCGCCTTCAAGCGCTGTCCGATAGCGGAATCTGGCTCGTCCTGTATCCAGGACCAGGCAGCCTCGAGTGTCCGAACAAAGTCGCCATAAAGCGCCATTGGCCGGCTGCCGAGGAGAGTCAGATCAACCATCTGGTCCAAGAAGTCTAGCGAGCCTTCTTTCCTTTGCTGCAGCGCTTTGGACATGGATAAATCAATGTTTCTCCAGTCGAGGAGGTCGGTGCGCAGCAGTGCAGCGAGAAGTGGCATTTGGAGGAAGGTGGCTCCAGACTGTTGGCGGAAGTGGGCAGTGACGCGGTTGTTCAGCGTTGGGCCAGAAATCTTCCGCAACGTCTCCAGGACATGGACCAGGCTTTCCAAGGCTAAGTTGTCATCAATCGGGCTGAAAATGAGCTGGATAATTTGATCAGCAGCAAAAACAGCAAACTCGTCTGAAGTCTGCGATGCCTTGATCATATGCTGAACCAATGCGTCAACCACATCTAGGACGGGATGTGGCCTCGGGAGGTCGGCGAAGTGTTCCTCGCGCGCTTCGGTCGCCACGCGCTGCAGTTCCATGAGAAGCTTCTGGACGCGTTCAATCAAAGCGCGGCCGTCCATTTGGAATGCTTGGGGCCTCGCGGTAGGCATCGCTCCATTGTGAACGGGGGCGTACTGCTGAACCTGAGAGCCGAGGTGTTGAACGGCTGGTGCATCTGCCGTAGCTCCCAGGCTGGGTACTGTGGAGAACTGGTCTTGGAGAACTTCGTTGGCAAGCGATCTAGTCGCATCAGAAGCGGAGGGTACGTGAGATGGAGCATTAGAAGTGGTGGTCCGAGGCTGGCGGGCGAAGTCCTCGTATATGGCCATCTGTTCAGGGTTGAGGCCGCCCATGCTTGGCGACAACTTGAACGGGTTGGGAATCGTCCACGCCCACCGACTGAGAGAGGCATCCACATATGGCTCATTAGGGCGCTGAAGGCGATGACGACGGCGTGCTTCCAGTTCAGGCTCAATCATCTCCTCAATCTCCGGCACAGCTCTCTCCTCAGCTTGCTTCTCGATGATGTTGCATGCCAGATCAAGATTTGAGTTCACACACATGATGATAGTGCCTTCCGGTAACCCTTGCGGTAAATCATTAGATGAGTTCCTCATATAATTTGTGAAGTTGGCTCTCAACGGCTCCTTAGAGGTCACCAGCGCCAAACTTCCGGCAGTCGCCTTCACCATGCTGATGGCTGATGTCCTGACCCTGTTCTCATCAGGCTCAGTCGCAAAATCTTTGTGAATCATTTGCTGGGTGGAAATGGCAGCAATCGTGACGGATCGATCTACCACAGGCTGTATGATGTCTTGCAAAGCCTGCGTAAGAGCAGTCCGAACAATCTCGTGCAGTCGGGTAGCCGTTACCACCATTTCGTTCGTAGGCGGAATGTGAATGAGCGGGCCAAGATCTGGGATTGATGCAGCAATGACCTGAGGAGAGAGGCCAGCTGTGACACCCGTGGAAATCCCGTTCAGGGAAAGATTTTCAAACGTCTCCAAAGCGTCTTGGGAAACCAGCTCTTGTGCATCTTCGACAGCGGCACGGTTGAGAATCTCGCCGGAAGGCTCGATACTTTTGTGGTCAAGGTTAAGACCCTTGCACAACACTTCAATCTCGAACTTGAGATTGAGCTTCAGCTCAGCATGGTGATATAACTCGATGAGCAAGTGAATGATATCCATCAACCATGGGTTCGGTGGCCGAAATACGGTTGAGTTGACTCCCTGGAGAATGACTTTGCAAACGAAGGGAATGACCACGATGAGCCTTTTCGTGTCGTGAGCCTCGATCAAGAGCTGTTTGAAGGCAATGTTCTTGTGCTTAATCGGCTTATCGCGAGCCAGAGTGAGAAGACCAAGCCAGCCTCCAAGATTCTTGAGGTGTGACCGTTCGGTCGAGTTCTGCATGGTGGCCTCCGAGTTGAGCATACGAGCCACGCTCACGTACGTCTCTCTCAAAACCTCTCCCCACAGAATCTTGTCTTCGAACAGCTTGACCAGTTCAAGGTAGACTTGGTGATAATTAGGCTGCATCTTGGCTCGCTCCTCGACCAGATGGCTTGCAAACCATTGCTGATAACGATGTTCCAAAATTTCCCGCAACTCTTGACACATGGTTTGAAGGGTGGTCTCGGTAAGATTGTTCAGTACGAACTGAATCTTGCCTTGTGTATCGCTTGATGGCTCCTCGCAATCGACTC